TGCCCAGCTATTTTTGTTGTTGTTGTTGTTGTTGGAGTTTGGCCGGGCCAGTTCGAACCTGCCACTCTCAGTATATGGGGCCAGCACCCTACCCACTGAGCCACAAGTGCCGCCTGTGGACCCATTATTGCTAGTATTGAAGTTAACTGCTCTTAAGACCAACCTTGGATTCACTTGCCTTTAAAGTATGTGGGACTCATTTGCATTAACAGACATCCTTCTCCTTATTTTCCTTTAAAGAAGGTTTTTGAATGCTGTTAACTAATAATTTTACTTGCTGTATTATATGGAGTCAAAATGAAGATGAAGTTTACTAAATTCTGTGATAAAATCATTACAGTCAGCTCCAGTGTTTATGGTGATTAAGCTATGTATATTGTTTTTTAAAACCATAGACTTACTAAAGATTCCTATAAGTTCATTTGTTTCTTGGAACTCCTCTCCACTCTCATTCTGTAGTCAGCTGCCTCTGTGAAGAAGATTTTATGTGATGCCCCTGTGGAATCTGTGGTGCAAGTGTCTGGGACAGTCATTTCCCGACCTCCAGGACAAGAGAATCCAGTTAGTAGTTTAGAAACTGTCTATGTAAATTTTACTTGTATGCATTTGTGCTGTTTCTTTCTTTTTTTTTATTGTATGTTTTAATTTTTATTATATTGTATTGGACTTAATTTTATTGCTCAGGGTTTCCTACAATTCTCTGAAGATTTTAAAATGAAGACGTTAGTTCCTCAATAGGATTACACCCTCTCTGAAGGCAGAGCTCATGTCCTAAGAGGATATGGAGTTCCATGCAGGACGGATAAGGGGGTGGCTTGTATGGCTCAGGGAAAGGTCCTAGACCAAGAGTCCAGAGACTGAAGTCTTGCTTTGATAGTACCACAGACTGGCTCTGTGACAGAATTCAAGCTGTTCACGTCTCTGTGCCTGTTAAGTGAGGATCACAAATAAATACTCAAGGATTTGCTCTGTTTCTGTATACATTCATACAGTATCCAGGGGTCCTCAAACTTTTTAACAGAAGGCCAGTTGACTGTCCCTCAGACTGTTGGAGGGCCAGACTGCGGGCCCCGGGACGAGTTGGCTGCTAAGCAGGACAGGCGGCAGTGGCAAAAATACCTGACGGGCCAGATAAATGTCCTAGGCGGGCTGCATGTGGCCTGAGGGCCCTAGTTTGAGGACGCCTGGCATAAACTGAGCCCCTACTGGACATTAGGCACTAAAGTTCAGAGAGTTCTACAGATTTCATAATGTTTACTACAAACACACACACCATATAAATATGCATGCTAAGACATTTGCTGATGTTTATGTTGACAAATGCATGCTAGTATTTATTGATTCCTGAGCACATTAGCCACACATGTATAAGAATATCAAAATCATACATAAACATTTATGCTTTAGATTATATACTATAAGGACCTGCACATTTTATACATATAAATAAATGTATATGTTTTCAAATATGCACTTTGTATGTGTTCTGATGAATGATTTTTTTAAATAAGTCTCCCTCTCTTTTTAAGAAAATGCCAACAGGTGAGATTGAAATCAAAGTTAAAACAGCTAAACTTCTGAATTCCTGCCGGAAGCTGCCCTTTGAAATTAAGGACTTTGTGAAGGTATCACCCTCTGTTGTTATTAATAAAATGGAGTATCTAGAAAATGTTGATAACCAAGAAAGTATTTTCAGAATTGTTTAACTTCCACAAAATGAAATATTTTATTATAGACATATCATGAATTATTTTCTTAATTTTACAATTTCTTGATAAATTGTTCTTAAAAAGCAGTAATTCATTAAGCTGTCATAGTCCCCAAACATCTGAACTGGGTTTTAGAAAGGTCAAAATGTGATTCTATCTTTTAAGAGTTGAGATATTATGTTATTCAAGTTTTTTATTGTTGTTTAATTTTTTTTTTTTTTTTGCAGTTTTTGGCCAGGGCTGGGTTTGAACCCGCCATCTTTGGCATATGGGGCCAGCACCCTACTCCTTTGAGCCCCAGGTGCTGCTCTGTTGTTTAATATTTTGAAAGGAAATTTATGTAGTTTGGAAATTCTATGTATTTCGGAATCTCTATGACTGTACTAGGAGGAACACAGTGAGAAGGTTTGCTTATCTTCAAGGCTGTAAATTCCTGCATCCTTATGTGTTCCTGTATCTGTTAAGTTTAGATTAATTGTTGGCCAGACATGTTGGCTAATATAATCCCAATACTCAGGAAGGCTGAGGTGGCAGGATCACTTGAGCTCAGGGGCTAGAGACTAGCTTAAGCAGGAGTGAGACCCCATCTCTACTAAAAATAGAAAAATTAGCCAGGTGCTATGGTGGACACCTGTAGTCCCAGCTAATAGGGAGGCTGAGGCAGGAAGATCACTTGAACCCAGGAGTTTAGGTTGCTATGAGCTAGGCTGATGCATGGCACTCTAGCCTGGGCAACAAGGTAAAACTCTGTCTCAAAAAAAAAAAAAAAAAGTTGAATCCTCTAACAGAGATAAAATATATGCTTAGAGCAACTCTTGCCTTCCCAAACATATGAATATAACTAGGATTACTGTGTTTCATGATACTCTTTTCCAAGGTTTGAGAAGTTATGGAAATAGACACACTAAGTACACCCAATGATTTTTCAGCCTTGTCATAATTGTAGATTGTGTACACCTAATTTTTAAACTGATCTACTAAGAGATGTTTTAATTAATTATGTGGCCATTTCATCTTACATTTTAGTTTCCAATACTTAATTCTTTTTGTTTTTCTTCTGAGGCAGACTCTCACTTTGTCACCCTGAGCAGACTGCCCTGGTGTCATAGCAGGGCACAACAAGCTCAAACTCTTGTACTCAAATGATCCTATTGCCTCAGCCTCCCAAGTAGCTGGGACTACAGGTGCCCACCTCAATGCCCAGCTATTTTTTAGAGATGGTGTCTTGCTCTTGTTCCAGCTGTTCTCAAACTCCTGAGCTCAAGCAGTCCAACTGCCTCAGCCTCCCCAGAGTGCTAGGATTACAGGTATTACTTAATTCTTTAATTAGAAAACAGGCCAGGTACAGTGGCTCAGGTACAGGCCTCCCTCTCTGGGAGGCCAAGGCGTGAGGATTCCTTGAGCTCAGGAGTTCCAGACCAGCCTGAGTAAGAGGGAGACCCCATCTGTACTAAAATTAGAAAAAGTAGCTGGTCAGGCATTGTGGCGGGCACCTGTAATCCCAGCTACCCTGGAGGCTGAGGCAAGAGGATCCATTGTGCCAAAGAGGTTGAGGTTGCTGTGAGCTGTGACATCATGGCGTCAATCTACCAAGGGTGACAAAGTGAGACTCTATCTCAAGTTAAAAGAAAAAAATATATATAGATATATAATTACAAAGTTGACCTTACTGTGAAAAATAAAACATATAGTTTTCTCCAGATAAGCATTTAGAAAGAGAAGTTATGGATATTTCTCACCATTTCTTTTTCTAATACCAAAGAAATTAGCTATTGCAGGAGAAAGGACATTTTTTTTAAGTTCTCAGCACAAATAGGGATCCCAGTTTTACAGCCTTGAAGATAAACAAACCTTCACACTTTTCCTCCTAGTACAGTCATAGAAATTCCATCTGCTGTTCCTTTGTATTCCTTATACTTTTAGTCAGTGTCCCATTCAGCTAATAAAATCACAACTATTTTTAACTCTGGCATATCTTTTTTAGAGATGGGATCTTACTAAGTATGTTGTCCAGACTGGCCTCAAACTCGTGGGCTGAAGCAATTCTCCCACCTTGGCCTTCTGAGTAGCTGGGGTTACAGACATACACCACTATGCCTAGTTATCTGGTGTGTCTTATTTATTTATTTATTTTGGAGATAAAGTCTCACTTGTTGCCCTCGGTAGAGTGCCCTGGCATCACAGTAATCTCAAACTCTGGGGCTCAAGCAATCCTCTTGCCCCACCCTCCTGAGTAGCTGGGACTATAGGTGCCTTCCACAATGCCCATCTATTTTTAGAGACGGGGTTTCACTATTGCTTAGGCTGGTCTCAAACCTGTGAGCCACCACACCTGGCCTCTGTTATATCTTTTTAAAAGATCTATGACATCTTCAAATTATTTTTCAAGATTCCATTATGGGTTTAAATGAACGGATAAATGTTTCATAAAGTAGGCACATCTCAGTGAAGGGTGATGTTAATAATGAATAGTAAAAAAACGGCTCGGCGCCTGTGGCTCAAGTGGCTAAGGCGCCAGCCACATACACCTAAGG